GGGACGCTGTGGGGTTTGCCAGTCTTGTTTCCCCAGTACCCTCTCTGCACAGGGACAATGGAAAGCTTGGTCAAGATGATGGCCCCTCAAATTGCAGTGGCTGCCTCCTTGGAGCACTTAACACTCAGACCAATGTGACTATTGTAGTCCCCAATGGAAACAAAAGCCTTGAACCTGGTCTGCTGGCCAGCCTGGGTCTGCTTCTGTACTGGCATGATCTTTAAAACCTCATCCTTAAGAGATGCTCTAGGGAAAAAGTCAGTAATCTCAGATTCCTTAATGGGCAGGGAGAAAAGGTAGATCTCCTCCAGGGACTTGCTCTTCATGTCCTTGACCAGGTGGCCCAGCTTGGTGACTGGAATCTACTCCTTGTCTTCAGCTTTGCCTCCATGAGCCCCACGGCCCCAACCACAGTCTTGGCCATAGCCCCGACCTTGGCCTCAGAGATCGCTACCAAATCCTCCATGGAAGCAGTGGCCTCCCAAGCCTGGGTCCCTGGGTCCTATGGGCCATCCAAATGACATCATCTGCCATTTGGTGTTTCCAGAGGAAGCAGCAGCTTTCACTTATTCTTAAACAGTGCTGTCCATGCTGGTCTGGAACTCACTATGTAAGCATGCACCATCATGCCTGGCACCATAGCTGCCATTTTCTAAGTGTCTTTGTAACTTTGGGGAAAATCTCAAGCCTACAGGGCATGCTTTTTAAAGTCCTGGGTGTTGTCAGAAGTGTCTGTTGCAGAAGGACAGATGAATAGCAACTTTGGAACCCACCTACTTCTCTGTACATGCTGCCCCAAGCTTTTTCACCTGGATTACTGCCCAGATGACCTTGCTGCTGCCAGAACCTTCTTCCATTCATTTTCCAAACTCTGTCAGTAAGCATACTATTAAATAAGTCAATCTCTGGCACCACAAAACCCAAACAAAATAAGCATGTGTTAAAACTTTACACAGCTGGACCCGGGCGTGGTAGCACATGCCTTTAATCCCAGGCAGAGGCAGCGGATCTCTGTAAGTTCAAGGCCAGCCTGGTCTACATAGTGAGTTCCAGGCCAGCTGGGGCTACAGGGAGACCCTGTCTCAAAAAGACCAAAAACAAAAACAAAAAACCCAAAAACAAAAACTACACAGCTGGGCTTGGTGGCACATGCATGCCTTTATTCCCAGAGGCAGAGGCAGGCAGATCTCTGTGAGCTGGAGGGTAGGTGAGATCCAGTTTCAAAACAAACAAAAAAGAATTCCAAAATATTATGTGTTAGGCACTAGGGTAGTTGCTCAAGGGAAGGTCATCAAGCTAGTAACCATAATGCTCAGGAGAGAGACAGGATCTTGAGTTCAAAACAGCCTGAAATTTGGGGGGAGGGGTGTGTTGCTGGAGAGATGGCTCACTGGTTGCACCCACATGACAGTTAACAACCTTCCCTAACTCCAGCTCTAGGGAATCAGACACCCTCTCTGGCCTCTTCAGGCATTGTTCAACATGGGTGCACTTACACACACACAGGCAAAGCATTCATACACATTAAAAAAAAAAAAGTAGAGGGATGTTGGAAAAGGAATGGCAGGGAAGGTTTATGTAGTGTGTGATAGTCCAAAGAAAGCAAAGGGTAAAAAAAGTCCCTGCTAGACACAGATGTGAGGGTGGAGAGTTAAGTCATACAGTCGCACAAACAACATTTAAGAATTGGGATTAGCCTGAGGTAGTAAGACAATATTATTTATAGTCAGATGTTTTCTAAAAAACAATGACTGGGGGAAATTTAAACTAGAGAGACTCCAGGTGTGGGGGTGCATGCCTTTAATCCCAGCACTTGGGAGGCAGAGGCAGGCAGATCTCTGTGAGTTCAAGGACAGCTTGGTCTACCTAGTGAGTTCCAGGACAGCTGGGGCTCCAAGGAGACCGTCTCAAAGAGACACAAAAAAAAAAAAAATTGAAATAGAGACTGTTTAGGAGGCCACAAAGTGCTTTAAGCCAGGAGTCAGGAAATGATAGCCAACAGGTGAGATCTATTTTTTATAGCTCAAAGTTAAGAATATTTTTAGTCAGGTATGGTGGCGCATGCCTTTAACCCCATAATTTAGAAGGCAGAGGCAGGTGGATCTCTGTGAGTCTGAGGCCAGCCAGGGCTACATAGTGAGACACTATTGCAAATAAAAGAAAAACAGTCTTAAATGTAGATAGATGAAATGTAGTAGCTGAAACAATCTAAAGACAGCTGTCTTGTGACATGTAAAGGTTACAGTTCTATTTCAGCATCCATAAGTAAATTTGGCGGGGCTGGGTGAGATGGGGTAACTGTCTTGGCCACCAAGGCCAACCTGGATGACTCGAGTTACATTCCAGTGACCCACATGTGGAAGGAGAGAACTGGCTATCACAAGTTGTCCTCTAACTCCCAATGTGCATGAATTGTGGCATGTGTCCACTCCCCCCCACCCCCAAGAAAATTTAAAACAAATATGTACACTCCCCACACATACTACCAAGTAAAGTTAAAACGAGTATTTGTTTTGTTTTTATCTCAGACAGGGTCTCCCTGTAGCCCCAGCTGGTCTGGAACTTGCTATGTAGACCAGGCAGGCCTCCATCACCCAGATTCGCCTGCCTCAGCCTGGAATAAATGGTCAGCACCAACCACCACGCCCAGCTAACAGTTTTTTTTCTTTCTTTTTTTTTTTTTTTTTTTTTTTTTTTTTTTATCTTTTTGAGACAGGGTCTCCCTGTAGCCCCAGCTGTCCTGGAACTCACTATGTAGAATAGGCTGGCCTCAAACTCAAGAGATCCGCCTGCCTCTGCCTCGAAAGTGCTGGGATTAAAGGCGCGGGCCACCACGCCCGGCACAGATATTTTTCAAGTAGCAAAGGAGGAGACTGGCTTGACGACCATATTTTACAGGATTGACTGAAGAAGGTCTTCTGGTAAGAGAGTGGGTAGGCCTACAAGGAGCTGAGGGGGCTGCTGCATGCACTAGCTTTCTTAGTTCTCTCTTACATCTATTTACTGGGGGTGGGGAGGTCAGATACATTATATGCCTGCTAATTAGGATCGGAAGGCAGTCCCCAACCGGAACACCCCCACCCTAATACGTTGACTAGTGGCAGTCAGCTCTTGGCAGTCTGGCGAGTACAGGGCCATTACAGAACAGACCTCCTTCTGGTTAACCCTGCCTTCCTTTACAACCCACTATTTCCTTCTACACTTCATGAACTCCTTGGTTTGCATTTCCCTTGAGGTTCTCTCTCTTCTAATCTTTTCCATAAACCTCCATTTGCCAGTAATGTCGGCACTCCACTTTTCTGGCTTCCATTCACTTCCAAAACGCTGTCCTTTTTCGACGATGAAGTGTTGGACGTTAGAAACTGGCTCACAAACTTCTTCAATCCCTAATCAATAGTAGACAGGAATGAATGAATGAATGAAGGTAGGCGGACTTCAGAAACATCCAGGGCAGCCTCTATCTTACCAGGTGTAAAACGTGGATAGAATCCTTGACTACATGGACTACAAGAAAAAACTGCAAGAGCAAAAATGTCTATCCTGTCCAATAAACGCGAATTGAAATCGCCTTTGTGGCTAACTCGAAATCATGTGGATACTTTAGATACACTACATGCCTGCAAATTAGGATCTGAAGGCAGGTCCCTAACCGGGAACACCAACGCCCTAAAACGTTGACTCGTGGCGGTCCGGGCGCCTGCGTGCACCCTCCAAGGTGACTGAACCGCCCAAAGCGTCAGCTCTTGGGGCGCACACGATTGCCAGTTCGAGACCCTGGCAGTGTGGCGAGTGCACGGCCATTACAGAACAGACCGCTTGCCAGGTGGAGGCCTCGCAGGACCGCGCAAGGGAGGCGCGGAGAGAGGTCCAGAAGGGCTGCCGGGTCGCACGCTCCCAGGCTCGGGGTCAAGCCTGGCCACGCTGCCCCACGTGCCCGGTGGACGCAGGGCCCACCGCCCAGGCTGCAGCCTCGTGAAAGTCACGTTCCCTCTGGGCACTCTATGGTTCGCGTGGTGACTACTCTAATTCTAGTTCCGGTCTCTATGGCGGCGGAGGCAGGAACGGTTGTAGGTCGGCCGAATTAGCCGCCTAGCGGGCCAATCCGACTGGAGGAGTGAGAAGGGCTGGGCCAGTCCCAGGCTGGCCCTGAGGTCAGGTGGAGGGATGGACGGCGCCGCTGGCCAATGAGCCACGGCGGGGGCGGGCCGCTCACGGGGCTTATCCCGCCCGTCCCGCCATTCTAGCTAGTTCGATCGGTAGCGGGAGCGGAGAGCGGACCCCAGAGAGCCCTGAGCAGCCCCACCGCCGCCGCCGGCCTAGTTACCATCACACCCCGGGAGGAGCCGCAGCCGCCGCAGCCGGCCCC